GAGACTAGAGTAGTCCAGCTTTCACCTTGTCTAAATTAGAGTACAGCAGCTTAGAAGGTAGTCTTCCTACTCTAATCCTTCCTTTTATAAAAACCATTATCTCTCAGAAGTAGAATTTTTGCCTTAGGTATGGGTAAGATGGTACTATTTCCTTCTCATACTTGGGGCCTTAGTTCTTATCTGTCCACAGATAGGCTTTCACTTATCATCTAATTCGAGAAAACCTATGGCATCTATACTTTTTTCTTAACACATTGCTTTCTCCAGCACACTTTGCAAAACTGGAAATTTTTGTATATGTTCATTGATGAATTTATTTAACTTTCACTTTCTCCCCAGAGCAGAAACTTCTTGCAAGGAAAATTCTTTTTTTTCCTAATATTACTGTACTCTGAAAATCTCAAACCAAAACTGCCATGAAGAAGTTTTTAATAAGCCTTTAGGTGCAAGTGAATAAATCTTGAGTGATTCATCTTTAAATGGTAAGCAATTTGATAAATAAGTTACTCATTATTATTAATTATAGACACATGTTTTATATAGTCTGACTATTTAAAAACATTTGGAGTATTAACCATAAATGTTATAGAACCACTGGACTTTAAGTTAGAGTGTATTGCTAAGTACCTGTCTTTTGCAATTAGCAGTAGTAAAGATACAAAATGGCAATAATGTTATTACCTGATAGTTTTAGATTTTTTTAAAGTAATCATATTAAATAACTATAGACACTCACTGGCTTGCTGAGCTGAGATGGTTTTAAAAGCATCCTTTTAAGTAAGTATACACATTGCTATATTGCAATATATCAATCTATATTGATATAATGGCTATGAGAAATTTATAACAATAAAAATTAGAAAAGGAATAAATAAACCAATTTTTGTCAGTAACCAACATTCTAAAACAAGACTTTAGTGTATTTGTTAAAACTAACTGTTATGGTTTGTGTCTTTGTGTGTCCCCCCAAAGCCTCATGTGGTCATGGGGCAGGCTTTTAGAATTTGATTGATTATGGGTGTGAGAGCTACATCTGCCCTGGGGTGGAAGTTTGCATATGTAAGGGAGAGGAAGAGGCTGCTTGTGGCCATTCCTCCCTTTTTGTGTTTGTTGTTTCGGCTGTTTTCTGCCGCCATGAGCTGTAGCCCTCTGCCATGTGCCACTCTGCCTTGTAACCTGCCAAGTACGGACTGAAACCTCCACAAACTGTAAGCAAAATAAACCTTTCCTTCCTTAATTTTGGGCATCAGGTATTTTGTCCCAGCAATGAGAGAAAAGTAACCAAGACACTAACATACACAAAACACTTGTGCATGCTTCTATGTATGTCTACTATTGAGAGACTGTAGGTTGAATACAGGGTTTATAACTCATGTTTAACTTAAACAGTAAAACATGTTAAAGATAATGTAGTAGGGTATTTTGTTTAAAGTTTTCCAGGGAAAAACTGCCCAATCAACTTTTTGAGGAAAATATATGATTATTAGTGAATAAAATTATAAATATTGAACATTATCTTTTGCATTAAAGATAGCATATCAACAATTTTATTCATGTCCAAAAGTCAAATATGTCAGATGATCCTGACCATTTATTTTGCTTAGGAGTATGAAGCTCTTTTCTTGGAAGTATGTAATCTGTTATTTCATAGTTTCATAAAGTTTTTTCAAACACTGATCTACATTATGCTACTTTCCATCATGTATTTTATGTACAGTAGTTTTCATGCTAGAAATGCTGAACTGCCAGAAAGTATGTATAATTGTTGCATAATGCTGCTATATTCTGTCTCATTACTAAAATGTAAATTAAGAAATCTCATTATGCTTCACATATAGATTGGATCATGTCAGTCTCTTCAATTTAAAATTATCTTATTTTCTTAAAGAAAAAAATCCATTCTTTTTGTGTAGCCCAAGGGTTTACATAATCATAAGCATTTCCATCTATACATAACTTAGTATTCATTTGAATTTTAAATTTGTAATCATAATTAGTATTCCAACCATTTTTACAAACTATGTACAATATTCCCTTCACAATCTAAAACAAAATAGTATTAAAAATCACCACTTTTGGAATGGATTTTAGTTAACATTTAGTTTTATGGGTCTTCTGATTTCTAACAGAACATGTTTCCTGGGCTTTATAGGGATGGAAATAAGCCAATACTTTCCATATCTATGAACATGATTTCTGGACGTCCTGCTATGACATGTACAACTTCTTCCATTTACTTCATTGATAATGGGGATGAGGTAAGGTATACATAATTTGATTTGTGTATTTTTCTCTCCTTTCTCTACTGATTCTGAGACATAAATCAGCATGCTAAAATCAGCTTAGGGAAAATTCTTTTATTTGGTTTTCTCCAAGGAATGTGGAAGTCTTAGTCAGTATAATTCAGAATCTGTATTAAAATTTAGGAGATGAAATAGATGACACACTTATTAAACCAACAGACGGTCAACTGGTGACCAGTAAAAGAGCAAATACTTTATATGGCCGAGTAGTTAATAAGGGTAGAACATCAATACCTTATATACAAGATAGACTTCCAGGCAATAATAGGATAGACATTTACTATCTTTACACTGGTGCACATCTTTGGAAAATACGTGTTCTTTTAATCCTGGAAGGGATTTTACAACTTGGCTGATCATAATATTATAGTTGTTTTTCAAATGAGTAATTTGAGACTCAGAGATGCACCATATTTCTCAGGCAAATTGCTCCAGAACTCAATTGCTCATTGAATTAAGTTAGTAAAAATAGATTTATTCCATTTTTCTGTATTGGGACACAAGGATAACAAAAATGCTTTGGAAATAACGCTAAATAGTTGTCTTCATCAATGTTCTCTTCACTCTTATTTTTTAATAATGCAAATTAGAATTTAACTTCAAGTGTAAAACTCATGGCTTCGGTTTTCCCATGTTTTAATCGTGACATTTATTCATTTCAGATGGGCTTCTCAGTAGAAAATATATTCCTATAGTTACCAACAATTCCTTCTAGTGGATGCTATTAATAATGATAGGTCTAAGAATTTTGAATAGCAAAGGCAATAAAGTCTAGGATAGATAACATAATGCATGTCTTCATTACCATTTATGGAACAAAGGAACTTTTGTATCTTATTTGAAAAAGGCTGATCAAAACTTTTACAGATGTTCATGAAAGATTTCATAACACATTTATAACATTATGTAGAAATATATAAATGAAAATATGACATACACATAAAATACATGTATAGTATGTATGTGTTTGTAAGATTAAAAATTTATTAAATATGGAATGAATCTGTCCACTAGTCTAAATAAATTCTGTTCAAAGAAGCTTGTTATATATCAATCTCCCAAAGTGCAAAACTAAATGAAATCAAATAATTTTCACTGAGACTTACATCCAAAGTAATTAAAGTTGTGAATACTTTTAGCAGTTATAAAGCTCAGATATGAGTTGTAAATATTTAATGTGATTATATACATTGTAATAGAACATTTCATCAATTGTCATCAATATAATTAATATCATCAGTAGAATCATTACATTGTTAATGCAAAAAGATTTATAAACTACATTTGCCAGAAAACGTTGGACAATTACATACATTATATGTAATTAATCTATGTTTATGAAATCACTATATATATATATATATATATATATACACTTATGCTTTTTACAAACCCTGATCAATACCTTATGCAATAATACAGGGAATTTAAGAGGAGAATAAGGAATGGAAACAAAATTCAAACCCAAATAATGTAACCCTGCAGTCCATACCCTTTATTTCATCATTGACACAAACAAAATTTTGTCATAGAAGGGATGCTTTCTACAGTAGAATTCCATATGAAGACAAAGTTTAGGTGGCTAGAGCCCTAACCAGTCTTTAGCTTTGCAAGGAGGATTATTTGCAAAAGAAAGAGGAAAGAGTGTTGTGCTAAATTTGTTGGTCTGTCCTAAAACTGTTCTGGATAGAAATAAAACCATTGCATAATGCTGTGTGGGGAAGAGGAGAATTTGAAGAAATAGCTTAGATATACGTGAATTTTTACTGCTAATTTAGTCTAAACCTGAATTCAAAATTAAATATTGCTTCTTTTAAATATGGCTCATTACTATCCACTACTGAAAATATTAAAATATCCTTCAGAATGCATTAAGTGGTATTCATGTAGTTTAAACCTTTACGGTAAATGTCAGTGCAAAAAGCATTGAGGACCTCTAGATGGATACATGGCTCTTAAAATATAAAACTTCAAATTACACACTGCGGTGAGAGTACTTGACTTTTCAGTTATATCAGGATAGCATAAGTTCCTTAAACACAAGTATTTATTTGTCATTTTCCTGCCAAGTTACTTCAAAATATCAAATATCCAATAACTCAACATGCCTCAAAATAAAAGGGATAGTATATAACCACAAATCTAAACAAATATTCCAGTTTATCTTTCTCAAAATGAATAACCATAGTGATCAACATGTCCCTCATATATCAGTAGGCAGTACTGCTGCTTCGGATGTTTCCCGCAGTGTACTTAAATAAGGAATTAGAAAAATAGTTACAGTCTAACTGATCACTTCCCTTAGAAGTATATTTCTGATATTGTTAAAATTGCAATAGTTTTCTCTGCCTTACACTGTTTTTAAGGCCAAAAATACAGTGACTTTTACCTTTTCAATTTATGAGGAGAAAAGGTTATGTTTGTAATATATTGTGAAGGATAATGAAATATAAAATATTCAAGAAATGTTGGTTACCATTCATGACCATGACTAATGCAAATGCTTAAAAAATTCATGCATTTAAATTATGCACTTCTATAAGAATAAATTAGAAGAGAAATGTTTTATTTCTATATAGAGGGGTATTGAGAGAAATAGATATCATGATTGCTATCAACAGACTTTTACAAAAAAAGAAAAAAGAAATGAGAATGTGGGGAGGTACAGCCTTCAAATATTCAGTCTCATTTACTTACAATCAAGCCACTCTTCGTTTCCCTTTTTTCTCTATCATGGATCATTTTGTAGAAAATGCCTCCTGGATTAAACTGAGTACTCCAAATAATCATATCTCTTTGATAATATACATCCATCCCTGTTATCCTTGAATTATGTTCAATATGAGAAATTTGTTGATGATCGCCACTGTAGTTGAATGGATATATAAAACCCAGGATATCAGTGTCATTAGCAATGTAGAGAACTTGATCTTCAGAGCCTGGAGATTATTACAATAAAATACAAAAATAAAGTAAATTTCAGCTAAAATAAAAGCCACGGTTATACTTTTTAGTTATCTTGAGTTGTTATTATTAATACAGTTCCTTAAAATTCAACAAAATGTCTGTTTTAGTCTTCTTGATTCTTTATACTCAGTTTTTAACATTTATAATTATGTGGGTGCTTCTGGTGCAAAGTTTTCTTGTTTGGTACACGGGACTTGAATTTAGGACCTCCAGCTTGCCAGGCAGGTGCTTGGGCCCCTGAGCTATATCCCCAGCCCCAACAAAGCTTTATTTATGGCTAGAAATTTGATATTTTTTTAAAGAGAAAAAAAAAATAACAAAAAGACCCACATGTGTAAACATCGGTATTTTTTAAAAGATGTACTTTTTATAAATGGGGGTTACTATTTAAGGCAAAATAAACTATGTTGCAATATTTTAGTCATCAGGAGGCAGGCCTTGCACTGTGCATTCCTAAAGCCTCAAACGTTTCTGAGCATTTGATCATGCTTGAGTGAACATTATTTTGGCTAAAAAATGAAAAAGGCAATAAAGACTTTTATTCTTCTAATTTATTTTAGTATAATTTTTAACTTTATTACTTGAGAATTTACATATTTGCAAATTCTCTAGAATCCTGCTAAGTATAACATTCTAAAGTTGTGACAACTAAAATATACTGCTAACATCATTTTAACACTAAAAAGTGAAACACTAAAATAAAAAACCATTAAAAATTAATGTGAGCTCAAAGAGAAATTCAATTGCAAATCTAATTTCTGTAAATGAATAAATATAAAATATACTGAGGCACAGTTCAGATCTATAGTTTTCTTGTCTCTTGTTTCATGAATATTTATGATGTGTGAGATGTTATGCTAAGGTCTCCCTAATTTATCCATACATCCTTGAACAAATATAAAAATGTATATTAGTGTACCTATTGTACAGACTGGCAACTGAGGCTCAGAGAATTTAATGACTTTTGTCCACACAGTCTGAGAAAAATCAATGCTAGAGTTCAAATTTCCACACCTCTGCCGCTACTATTCACAATTACTCCACTATATTGTGCTGCTTTTCTTATGTAAGAATGATCTTATTGACAACATCCACTCATGCTGTAAATTTACTTCTTCCGGTTACAACATACATAGGTATTTTATACTAAAATGTTCATATATAAATATGCAGTATATAAAACATGATGTATTTATATGTAATAATATAATCATTAGTAGTAATAATAAATATATATGATATATTTTATATAGTCTATGTCTATATTTTAAAATATTAACATTCACGTGCTCAAAAGACTAATATCCATACTTGTTATTTAATTTTTCAAAAAAATTACACTACTGAATAGAAGAAGTATGAATTTCCAAGTAAGATCTATTCTAAAAGTTTTAAAGTACTTATGAAAATTATATTCTCCCTACAATCCTAACCTTTAGCCTTTTATTTTTATCCTAGAAGAGCAATAACTTCTCATATACTTTGAAAGTAGACCATAAAGATCCTTTATATTTTCACTATAACAATAACATTTAAACTTTTACTTCTTCTTACAAAATGTGTGCAACATAAAGTGATTTGAACCCTAGCTGAATATTTCACAGTCATGTCTATCACCACATAGAGCCAAATTATGGAAGAATGACGATTTGTCAAAGTTCAGATGCAAAGGAAAAATTAGTTTCAGGGTTCTGCACCACACAGGGGGCTGAGTACTGGTTATAATATTTTACTGTGTGTTTTATAAGTAAATAAGGGTTATGACTTGGGAGTATATCAAATCAAAGAAATAGTGTTGAAGAATGTGAAAATGTATTGTGCATTTATACATATATATATATGTATATTTTGTGTCAATACTTCTTAAAAAAGAATACTAACCCATTAGCCAAATTAATTAGCAAGAAAAATACATTTGTTTTATATAATCAGGAATGAAGCTATCACTGAAAGGCACTAGGAAACATCTTCTCCCCAAAAGATATTTATAATAAAATTATAATTCCATTTCTAATAGTGATTATAACTTACCTTTTGCTATGCAGGTGTTATTCCGAGCTTGAAAATTCTGGTCACATACACATTTATATGATCCCTCTATGTTCACGCATTGCTGGGAACACGTGCCAAACACCAAGCACTCGTTGAGGTCTAAATACAAAAATTTTAACAGCATTATGACAGTCCCAATTTCACCCTTGCATTCTTTCCGTGCTTCAAAACAATCCAAGGTATCTATCATCCTATAACTTTCTATTTCTCTTTTTATTGTCCTTTCATATCTTAAGATTGTAAATTCTTGCTAAAGTTTTAGGCCATCGTTATGGTTTTCACAGTAGCTTTTTAAATATTATTTGTTGGTTATTAACTGACTTAAAATCATACAAGAGCCATATTCAGCCACTCAGACACTTCTCAAGATTTCCTTGTAAGCCTGTTTGCCACTGCCTGCCTGCACACCTGCCTATTTAAATATCTACCAATTAGCGTCTGGTAGTCCTTCGCTTTGGCCTGTCTATGTACATGTCTACAGACAGAATTTCTCCTTTCTTGGGAACAACCAGAAGTGAAGCCTTTCTTGGTTTTCCCCTATGTATAGCAGTGATGATCCATTCTTTAGCTTCTTTTATTCTTCTGGAGTCACTTTCTATTAGCATTGCTCATACTATGTTTCCAAAAGGTGCTTATACATTCATATCCCCTACTTGTCTGTCAGGATCTTGAGTATAAAGTTAGGATGCATCAACTTTTATTGCTATTTTTTGTACAATGAATGGCACAGAATGAAGGTATGGATGTACCTGTAACACTTCTGGGTTCATATACATGCAGTAGCTGTGTAAGGAGGACTGAATTGAAGACATATGAATTAAGCAAACAAGCTAAAAAACCTGAACGCCTATATATAACAATATCTAGATTACAGCATTAAATGAATAAGGCACAGGTAATGTCTGTAGCTTGGCACAGGTTTCTAATTTTAGGGACTTAATTAGAACCAAGATTAAAATTGCATTATTCACAGGAATTATCTATTTTCTGATTTCCTTATCTATTTTTACTTTCATACAGCACACTTCTTCTATCATTTATAGTTGTCCAAAATATGTAACAAATCTGTGAGATAAAATTTTGCCTGAAATTTGAAAATTTAAAGATCGCATTAGTAAACTAACTTCTGTTTATTATTCAACAGTCCTCAAGCTTTTTGGTACCAGGGACGGATTTCCTGAAAGACAATTTTTCTACCTGATAGGGCTAGAGCAGCAGGGAGGGTGGGTGGGTTCGTTAGATGGATTCTTACAAGGATCACACAACCTAGATCCCTCTTTTGCATGATTCTCAGTCCGGCTGGTGCTTATGAGAATCCAGTGCTCCTGCTGATACGAACAGAGGTGAGCTTAGGCGATAATGTGCGGGATAGGGAGCAGTTGTGAATTCAGGTGACGCTGGTACCTTGCCTGACACTCATTTTCCGCTAGTTTCCAGTTACTACCAAGCCATAGACCTGTACCATACAGACTGCGAGTTGGAGACCTCCGTTCTGAGGGATCCGTGAGAGAGATAAAGGACCTTCGTAGCGACAGATTAAATGACATACTGAGACTTTCTGATTCTGCTTTTTCTGCTATAGTACCTTACCCAAGGAGGATTTAACATTTTAATAACTCATTTCTATGTTTGATTAAAAAAAGGATAAACAGGAAAAGCAAAATGCATTTACTTTAATGAAGATTGTTCAGAAATTAAGTAAAATGTTTCTTATCAACACAACTGTCAAATTGCAAGAAGTATTTTTGGTTTATCTAATATCTGTAAATTTGAACAGGGAGATAATTGTTACTGTGCTTTCTTTTTGTCATAGATTTACACTTTAAAAATTTGCATAACGTGATAAAATCTCAGCTACCTGGCATTACTCCAAAAAGGACAAAAACATTTTTCCCCTCATTAGTATAATGAGCTCTGAATTGTGAGATTTTTGAAAAGGATATAGGAATCCCACACCTGCCCAGTGTCCAGAACACTGACTGGCCTTTGCCACAATGAATCTTACCCTATTACTGTCATTTCCTTTGTTTTTTATTCCCTTTACTTATTTCCACTGAAGTGTTTTTCACCAAATTCCAATTTCTTGGTTTTTTTCTCTTTTTTATGAATTAGATTGTAAAGAATAATGACAAATTTAAGTTCTTTACATTACAAAATGTAGCTACAGGAGCTTCTTTCTTTATTAGTAAAACTTTATCATAGATGCAAATTTCATTAGATTTCAGAACTTACTCTTTTGTGAAACAAAATTATATAAAGAGTACATTTACAGCAGTTAAAACTAAAAGTATAGCTTGCAGGTTAGATTTGCCATGAGTGTAATTAAAGGTAAAGAAAAATACTGAGAATACAATTCCTAAATTTAGTAAGTACATATGGTATGGGAAACAGGGCCTGGTATTCACAAACAACTCTTTGAAGATCAATGCTATTGCAATTAAAATACTGAAGAAAAATAGAGAGAGAGAAAGAGAGAGAGAGAGAGAGAGAGAGAGAGACTGCACATGCCTGTGCGTGGGGGGGGGTGTCTGTTTAGGTAAAATAGGGGCTGGGAGAGAAGAAATGATTTATTTTTCAGTAAAATAGAGAAAACTTAATGTCAGTTTTTAGTATTTCATGGCAATGGAGAAAGAAAAATGCCATGGATAATCTAAATGAGAATACAATTCAAAGTGCTATGAATAATCTAAATAAGAATAAAATTCAAAATATGGCTATACCTCTTCCTATCTGTGATGTATAAATAATTTCAACAATTCTATTTTTATTGATATAGTTCAAATGTATTTTAACCCATGAATGTCACATAGACACTTTATTGAAACAACTGAGAAGATGAAAGAATTTTAGGACTTGAATATACTATGTATAAGCAAGAAACCTGTTAAGCTTGGGTTTAATCACAACAATAGAAAAATATTGCTATGAATACCAGTTTTACCTAAGAAATTTTAGAAAATGCTCATGGGTCTATGCTTTGTAACTGTATAGTTTAAGCCTTGCTGTGAATTATATTTACTTCTATACCTTACTATAAGATTTTGTCTATCCTACACACTCAATGTTTAAATGATCTTAGGTAAGTTGGCAGATTCATTGATAATCTGACTTTAAATTTTTAAAGATATCTTATGATAATACAGAGAAATGTTTAAAAACTAGTGTTTAAATTACGTCAGTGGAAAGGAGCCCACAGCTTTCTAAATATGAATTACCTATCACAATATTGCAAATGACACACTCATGAGAAATGGGTTGTTATAAACATATTATTTCATAAAGTGAGTCTAACTCTCCAGTAGTTCCTGAACCAGCAATTTTATTATTTGCATTTCAAAACAGAAATGTAACAACACAATTGAAATTCCTGCTGGTCTCATTTTGCTTTGGAAAAGACTTTGTGGCTTCACTGATGGTTAGCTTATTTGTATAAACGACCAACACTCGACCCCAGAGAATTTCCCACTCAAAAGGGAAATGGTGTCACATAGCTACACATATTTTGATGAAAATCAGTTCCCTGTCATCTCACAATTTAGCATCCTTGGGAGTCTTTTTAAAACTCAAAGATTTTAAAGCAAACTGTAGAGGAAAGGTACTCTACCTTCACACCGTCTGTTTTTCATGTTTCTCTGAAATCCAGGCTTACAGCGACAGAAAACAGATGTTTTTATTTGATTACAATATGCATCCTCTCCACATGGATTCGCATTATCTTCACAGGTATATTCAGTAGGAGCTAGGATTTAAACATATGATCGCAACTAATATAACTCTGATTCCTGAAGTGGAATATTCATTATTACATGGATAATTCCTTATAAATGTGTGAGATTATGGTCTTCTTTGCCTTAAGCCTTCATTTCTTATGAAGGTATAGAAGCAGATAAAAACTGAAGTCATTGACATTAAATATAGTTTAGAGCAAGCTGCCAGCTCCTGCTATTTATACCACTTACTAAAAGGAAGTAATGAACTAGTGACTGCAGTGAAAGACCATCTTTTTTAAGGACACTCTTCGTGAGTATGAGTACTACATCTCCAAGAGTCAGAACATTTTTTTAGAAGTTATCTAGAGATGAGGGCACTTCTTGTTAATGAGAATTTAATATTCATTAATTCAGTCAAGGCAATATACCATATTATTAAAACTACACAAGTAGTTTGTGAAGAATCTTAGCTTGGACATACACATAAAAAATAACATTTGAGTAGGCATGTTTCAGTGGTCACGGCCTGCAACACTACAGAGGCAAGGTTATTCATCATCTTTAGTAGAACAATTTCAATTGCATTGCTTTGTCTTCCATTTGAGAGAACATTTTAGGATACAAGTAAATGGCAATATTATTTTAGAAGTAGCACTTCAGTAACTCTAAATTATTTAAGTGGATCAAATTTTTAAGAAATATGAAAACTTTATTAGAATTGCAAATATCATTAATATCAACAGGCTTGTGAGTATTTCACAACTGATTGAAATACACCAGTGGGATGATATCATCACTGAGATAAATTTGGCTTTATTTCATTATCCAGCAAGGAAATTAGATGAACTTAGACAAGTAAACAAAAAAGTAGGAAGTACTTTGTGCCTTCCACCAGAAAAATAAATTTATATAATTATTTTTCTTTAAAGCAGAAAATCAATTATCAAGCATTACTTAAAAATGAATATTTTTTTTTTTTGGTACCAGGAATTGAACTCATGACCTCACACTTGCTGGGCAGGCGACGTGCAACTGAGCTATCTCCCGGCCCTCCAAAATGAAATTATGCACAGCTGCTCACAATTTAAGTATCATGGCACTGTAATTAAAGAAAATAATGTCTTCTTTAAAAATAACTGAAAAATAAGTTAAATTTTTTAAACATTGAATTATTAAGCCCTTTGAAATCATTTACCCAAGGACTATTATAAAGTCCAAACATGTAACACTACGTTTATAGTTTATAACATGAAATAATAAAAATATAGGTTTGCTTTCTAACATCAAAGTCTGAATTTGAACACTGAGTTCTCAGCTTCCACTCCTAACAAGGATATTCATTGCAAAGTCAATCTTTTCCACTCCATACTTTCTTAAATTAAGAGATATTTGGAGTGATTATGTTGATTTGGCAAAAAGTGTGACTTATGCACATCGGAAGAACAAACTTTTCCCATAGCATTAAAAGAAGCCCTGGCGCCACGTTTAAGCTTCACCGGGCCCCTGGATGATCCCGTACTTTGCTTAGTGGAAATCACTCACTTGTTCTGCAGCCTTGCTCATCGGAACCATCTCCACAGTCATCGAGACGATCACACTGGAGATCCATGGGGATACATTTTTTATTACTGCAAGCAAACTCATCTTTCTTACAAGGCTTTGCTTTGTATGTAACCTTACCTATAGAGTCATGTAAAAGACTGATTAGTCTATCAGAGAATCACAGCTGATTTACTGTTCATACAATTTGCTTAAAATTATACTAAATGCCCATGTGCCCATACACTGTGCCTCCCTAAGTTGCCTGTCAAATTTGCGGCTGCCATGCTGGTGAGGTACATGAGATATAAATGTTAAATGCAATGGGGAATGGCAAGGCAGGGAGATAAGACAGCAATTGGATTAGACAAGAACTGGCTTGGAACTGGAGCTGTGCAGGTTTAAATTCTGGTAAAGGTGTAGTCACAACCTATTGGTAAAAATCATGCAAAGGAACTTTAACTTCTGGTAACCATGACAAGCACAAACTCAGAACTTTGGGGAAATAAATGGTCCAGTTAGCTTAACCTCACTGTCATAGGACAGTTTTGAAGATGAAGTGCATTTTTTGGTACATTTTCATTCAGATGTTACAGTTCATCAAAGACCTGAGCCTTGAGTTCAGGCGAGTGTTTGCCTGTGTTGAGGGGCAAGCTGCACAAGGGAAGGGGACCTGTGATGCTGGGGTATTAGGTAAATGTCCCCTGTTAAAATGATTTCTGTGCAAATGAGGGTGTGAATTCCAGCTCCAGGGCACAACTATTCCAGTTAACTAAATTCTCAAATTTGAACTTGCTTCTCTGAATGTAGACTGAGGAGAGAAATGAAAAACAATTTTAAAATAAATAAACAATAAAATTACACTAAATGATATGAAAAACACGAGTGTGTGGTCCTGTATTTGAAGATTCTGGAGATAAATGCAAAACATCGTGAATGTGTATTTGGGCTACAATTAATGACACCCTATTTCTCCAGAAAAAAAAAAAAAGTTTGAATATTTATCCTAAGTAGGATTTGTTAAGTGATATAAACTGCCTTAAATGAGTTCAGGTCAGCTTTGGCCTCAAAATCATTTTGTTGTATACTTAAAGTATTTCCTATTAAAGGGAACATCTGAATCTCAGAAATTGATCAAAGGGATTGTGTACACATACAACCTACACAAAACACCCTCCCTTCAGCCGCTGCAACAAAGAACAGTTTTGAAGCGCTACATCATTTCTCTCATGACATTACTATTCATCACAATAAAGTGCCTGGCGGGGACTCTGGATAAAGCCACACAAGTCTATTATGCAGATGAAACATTAGGAGATTATTCTCACACCCCATCAGAAGATCAAATGCCAGAAAAAAAATCCTCAGGCATGCATATGGAATTGTTTTCTTTCTTTTTAAGCCTTCAAATCATTTATCTTATCTTATTTGCTGCTAAATCAATTATTTCTCATTAAACAGATTTACCACAATGATCTTCATCTGAGTTGTCCCCACAATCATCAATGCCATTGCACGTTTTCTCGGACTGTAGGCATATTCTATTATTTCTGCATCTGTGTGGTCTTGTGGGTGGGCAAAGAAACTTAACTGAAAAACAGAAGAAAACCAAAGAAGCTCCTTTGATTCAATGGCTTATTAAGAATATACCTTGTCTTTCCTTTCAAATCCATAATCTAGCATTCCTAAGTGTATTTTTTTGTTGTGACTTTAATTTATTTTATCATGAATATTTTATTGTAATGTGTACTAGAAATGTATAATAGTCTTATGATATTAATATTAATAGTAATATGATATAAATATTAAGTCTTTTATGTTAATCAAAGTAGAGAGCATATCTTGCAATTTTGAGGTAAGAAAGTAATCTAAATTCCAGGTCTCTCTTTCCAGTGCCTTATATTACTTGCTTCATGCAGTCACCATAATAATTTATGATTATACATTAATTACAGTGTATATAACATGAGAAGACACCTCGCTGTCTCAAAGAGCAATTTCACACAGTGCGTACATTGAGCAGGTATGTACCACAGCTCCCAGTTCAATGTGGACCGTACATCGGGAAAGCAAAACTCTCATAACAATATTGTGTCTGGAGTTCTTACTTTGTGACTGTCTGAATAAATGTTTCGATGTATATGATAAATATTCATTTTACATACAAAATAATCTTAAGGTTTGTTTTTAATATATAATAAAAATATGAAGATGAGAAAGAGGTCAGTGAAGATAATAGAATTTTATCCTTTTTATCACCATCTAAGCTAAAGTCTTCTGATTCTAAACCAGGAACTATCACTATGTACTCTTCACCTGCATGTGTGGAATTCCCTAGGGCTCTGTCTCTGGTGACTGTGGGTCCTCACTCTTAAATGCCCTACTTATTTAGTTATTCTCATCCAAGCTGACAAATTTGCATGCTGTTATATCGTGAGGATTTACAGTTTGTTTTCTAGTTCCAACATTTCAAATTTGATTATAGAACATACCCTATTTCAGACTCAACAAGCTCACTACTTAGATCTTTATTTTTCTTTTGTTGACCCCTTCTCTGCAAACATGAGCTTTGCCATATTCTTGTAATTTAATTGGTGGTATACCATAGATTCCTGCCATTCTTCTTCAACCCTAAGTGGTTACATCTTGTTGATATTTTCCCCAAACTTGTCTTCTGCTCATCATCACTACCAGTTACAATCACAACAGAGCAGCTGTTTGTTGCAGAGGTATAATAAATGTCCTCAGTTTCATTTTCATCATCAAATGCTCAAAAAGTCACAAGAACAATCAATCTAGCACATTAATCTTATCATCTCTTCTACAGTTACCTATCATCATCAGTATATGGTTTAAGACACAACGCAAAGAGTAATAACTTATTATCTTATCCACACCACTCCTATGGATTTATCCCTTGTTCCTTTTATCTTTCATTTATTTTAAAAATAAAAGAAGGAAAACATATTAATATTCTAACAATGCACTGTATTACAGCTCCTCACATATGTTTTCTACACTCCTTGCCACATTTCCTTGTTTCAGTTGAATTCTGGGCTTTTGTCCACATATATTTCCTCCCACTTGGATCTTTTAGGAATGTCTCTTAATTTTTTTTTTAAAAAAATTGCTTTCTATTTTATGAAAAACTAAATAAATTTTCATAACCACATGATAAGAGAATAACAATAGTTATTACACTGTGCATCATTATCTTCAAAGTATTACCAAGAATGTACCAAAAAATTCTCATAAAAACCAGATAAAAATGCAAACTCTTC